TGCAAATTGGCGACCCTGGATACAGCATCTCTGCAGTGCATTGGCAACCTTCGACCATTCCCTTGAACACGTGAACATGATAGTAGTCGTGATCAGCTTATTGTCGGTGTTGTTGAGGCCCAGGGGTCTAAGCTTGTCACATTCACGGACGCATCATCCTCCTTCGAGATCACCTTCCTCCTCCCCCATTCGGGGTGTAGACGCCCAGCAGGTGATTAAATCCCCAGAGCGCCCAACCGCCTTCCAAGAGCCAGAACATCATCTCCGAGAGGGTCTCCAGAGCCTTGGGGGTCTTCTTCCAAGCGGCGTAAGAAATGCAGTCGGGACCAGGGGCGCTGTGGGTCTGTCGACGTAGGACAGCAGACATCAGGCTCTTGGTTGGGGGCGGGATGTCGCTCAGGTCGATGTGACCTGCGAACCTCTGAATGTAGATCCGAGCCTTATGCTCAGGCGTATCTTTGGCGCTGAAGACCTTGCCCCAGTGCTCGCCTATCGCTGGGGCCATGTCCAGCGGGTCTGAAAGAAGTTGGCCATTGCGGCGAATGCCGCGAACGTGCAGGCGGCGGTCAAACGGTGCCCACAGCTTCGCTCGCTTCTGGAGTCGACGGAGACGTTGCCTGAGTTGTTTCTTCTCTGATTCCGGGGCATCCGAGAGATTGTTCCCCAGTCTTCTAATCTTGTCCAGGTGATCAGATTCGTCCAGAGCATTAATAAGGTCAGCGAAGGCCCCAGGCATAACCAAGGATAAAAGCTCCGTCTCCTCGTCAAACTTGAGGTGCTGCTGAGCAAGAGGGTGCGCCTTGATGAGTTTCTGGCCCAAAGTACGGCCCCGACGCCAGACGGCCCTCGATATCGAGCGGCATAGAATGATTCGACCCAAGGTCGAGTGCGAGGCCTGGCCCAAAGATGCGTTTCGAGCAAATCTGGCACCCCCGTTCATCAGCATCTTAAGGTACAGCTAACGGATCGGCGGCGAGCACAGCTCAATGTCGCCGCGCTGGAGATAAGCCTGCACAAACCTGGTGTACTCTGAGGTGTCGAAGAGGTCTCGATTGATGGCGCGCTCTTTGCGATGCTTCTGGCCACCCGGGTGGAAGTCAACCTTGATCGCTGCATGGTCTGACAACCGCTGGTATATGACGACCTCGGCGAGACCCTGCGTCACCCCGCATACGTTAAACTGCCTGAGCGCCCACCCAGGAATAAAAGTAAAGACCCTATCTATGATGCTCATCGTGTCATTCGGCGCGTGCGCTTGGGCGGGGTCTTGCTGGTGTATTTCAACTAAATTTCCCAAGAAGGTCCCTCCAGATGGCGCCCTGGGTGGCCCTCCAAGTTTGGCACCCCTCACCGGGGGCAACAAAAACTAGCCGGGTTGACTGGGGACGGCGGCGCAGCAGCGATGTTGAAGTCACCTATGACGACGCCAATTTTGTTGAGCGGGCCCTCTTTGGCCTCCTGGAGCTTCCCAAGAATGTGCTCCGATATGCGGGTCTTCTCGTGCCTCTGGAGCCCATAATTGTGGATATTATAATGTGCAGTCCAAGCCGAGCCTCCGTAAATCTGGATATCCGTAAAAAGAGCTCTACCCTGAACAAGCGGTGAGGAGTCCGAGACAACCTCTAGGTCCTCAAACTTGGGAACTGGCATCGTGGTGAGAACCCCACCAGCGGCATTCGGCAAAAAGCTGACATGACAAATGTAAGACTTACGTAACAAGTAAATCATGTTCATGGCTTCTTCTTCTTCTGTGCCATGAGTCCCTTGTACTGCTACAGTACTCGTGGGAGACATGAGGGAGGAGAGGTAGTGGAACTTCTTGGACTTGGTGGAGGGGTCGAAGTGAAAGAGAGAGTTCGCATTCCAACTGGCAAAGCACAGGGAAGCCGTGGTGGTGCCAGATCCCAACCAAGTCTTCATGAACTTGCTAAATGGACCACTCGCCCTCGTCTGCCGAGGGAGGCTTGATACACTGTGCGACTCGCGGAGCAAGAATATGTTTGTCCAAGCCGAGCGCCATGATATTGGGGATGTTCCACTCCACAGAGGGCGCTGTTCCCGTCGGCGCGGGTTTAAAACGCAAGAGCTTCTTCCATGCCAGTGAAATCTCACCTCGATCCTTGTCAACATAGAAACGCTTGTTGGAGTAGGCGGACTCGAATTCCTTTCTGATAAATTTGATCCCAAACTCCCTGCGGATTGTCGCCTGGTTTTTGTCCACGCTGATGAACAGGTCAGACTGGCCGCCAGTGGGGAGCTCAGCATAGAAGCGCCTCCACGTGTTGTTCCTCTTCTTGATGGCCGGCATGGCTTGCCGTACTGCACGTGGAGCAAGTTGAGTTTGTCCTGTGAACTGAATAATGAACCGTTTAGCCATGGGGCCTTCGTCGGGGGGCTTGACCTCGTAGTCATCCACGTCCGAGGCTGCGTCCTGCATCCAGTCACGGATGCGATTGCGTACTGCCTGATGGGAGACCAACTCACGCGAGCGAACCACCAATATGGACGGGTCCTTCGGGCGATCGAAGCTGGCTGGGAGCTCCACAGTAGGGGGGGCTCCGTCTTGACGATGTGAAGCTGCTTCTGGAGGTGCTCGATCTGCTGCTCCATGTAGTTGATACGCGTATCATGTGAATCCACTCGAGCTTCCACTTTGTGCATTCTGGTCTCCACTTGACGATCGATGCCTTCAGCGTGCGATGCAAATGTTCTGGAGAGAACCGTGACACTTGCTTGGATCGATGCGATGGCTGCCATGACCTCGGACTTCGTGGCGTCGACATGAGCTCGAAGGTCGAGCTCTCGTCTGTGTTGCTGACCACTTTGCCGACGACCAGGACTGCCAGTGCCACCACTGCTACTGCCACCAGGGATGGGCGGAGGTTCTTCCAAGGCTTCCTGGAAGGGTTCGTCATCGGGGTAGCCTCCACCGTGCACCAGCGGTGCAGAGCGAGATCGATCACGTGCACCTTCAGGGTGTGCATCATGAGGAGGAGCTGAAACTGCCATGCCGCGCCGTCACAGAATCTGTGATGGCTCCCGAGAATTGTAACAATTCCAGCAAAGCAGAATCACAGAGACGAGGGTGCCGCCAGCGCCTGACACGCTGGATCGCTCGAAAGAGAGCTGCCCGCCCAAAATGGGACCTGTTCCCACTTGAGCCAAAATGGCAACGGAAAACGGTACTGTCACCATCCTCCTCCTCCTCCTCCTCCTCCTCCTCCTCCTCCTCCTGCTCCTCCTCGTCATTATCGTGACCATCGCCGGCCCTTGTGGCCAACCCTCTGCCAGAGGACCTGCAGTCAACCCGTACAGTGAGAATGCACGGTAAGGACGCAAGGATCTTGGAAGGCCATGCCGACATGCTGCGGGCAGGGCGTGGCCAGCGAGAGCGGCCAACGACGGGCCGAAAGGGTCACGACGCAAAGGGCAGCCTTGGAGAGTCGGTCAACCTGACAAGGCGGGCTGACCGTGAGCCCCAAAACGTGCTCGTGAGTCGCATAGAGGTCTCCGCTGGAGGCGGAGGTCACTCGTGGGGCCCTGGGCCGAGCGGGAGAGTGGGCAGCGTGCACGTCGTTCATTTCTGATCGTGCTCACTTCTAATTGTGCTCGTTTCTAATTGTTCCTGGCCCCCTAGTGGCCAGGAAGAGGCCCAGGATAGAACAATCAGAAATGGAAGGAGATTGGCTCCCCAAAAGATCAAAGACATTCCGAAGAGTTGTAATTGAACGATGTGTACGGCCTCCGAAAGAGCCAAGCTCGAGACGACGGTGCGCAGCCCCGCTCGAGCCCTGGCCGACTCGCCCTGGCCTTGCACTGCCTCGCCCTCGATGTGCTGGAAGAGCTAGAGAGGAAGGGGCCCAGGGACACACAAATAAACACACACACACACAAATAACAGGATTCTCCATATTTCCAAATATTTTCTGGGTTTGTCTTCCCCCCCACTTCCCATATTCTCCCATATTTTCTGGGAAATCGATGACTATGTGTGTCTGCGATTTTTTCCCCTCCTGAAGAGAGAGTGTCGGGCTGGGCGAAAGGGGGGGATAGCAAAGGGGGGGGGTTGAGAATCAGCTCGCGTTGCTGAGTTTCCCAGCGCCTCCCTGCGCCTGAGGCGGCCATGTATCGAGGAATGGGCCCCTCGGTGGGGCCGAAACCGGCTGCAAGCAGCAAATTTCGTAACCCCCCCCTTTCCCTATCCCCCCCGTCCGGCTCTAGAGGAGGAGGAGGAGGAGGAGGAGGAGGAGGAGGAAAAGGGGGAAAGGAGGAAAAGGAGGAGGAGGAAGAGGAGGAGGAGGAGGAGAGGAGGAGGAGGAGGAGGAGGAGGAGGAGGAGCCCTATCCCCCCCTTTCGTCCGGCCCGAGAGTGGTAGAGGCTGGCGGATGCTCGACCCCGCGTCGGAGCTCTCCCGAGAGCGCCCCGCTGGCCAGGCCAGACATCTCCGTCGGGGCTTTTGGGACCCAAGCAGGCCGAGGTACTTACCGAGCCAGGCCCGAGCAGCGACCGCCACGCCACCGCTGCCTGGAGCAGCAGCATCTGCTTGCAGTGCGGAGGCTCGGATCTACGGCGGATCAAACAATGTGGACTGAAGCAGAGGACGCCACAGTCGACTGCCAACAGAAGGAGGGCATGGACTGCGCCCGTGGAGTGACGGGAATCTGTCATAATGGCAGGCCGGAGCGGGCAGGATGAGCGGGATCCAGAGCACCAACGGCAGGGAGGGAGGCAAGGAGGCAGAGTGAGCGGGGCGATGGACGATGTGCGCAGGGCCCGCAGCAATGAGAGCGGCGAGGAAGGCAGAGGAAGAGGGGGGAGGCAGGAGCGCGGTCGGCGGAAGGTGTCGGATGAGAGCCGGTGAGGGAGGAGGGCAACCGAGAGAGGGGGAGGAACAACAAAACAATCAACAACAAAACTTGCCAGCAGGAGCCGGATGAGAGGAACTGAGTCAAGATTCAACACCAAACGGCGAACTGTCCCGTTGGAGTCCAGGGCGATACCTGAATCATGCCGAAGGTCTGGTTGTAAACTGTGAAAGGGCCGACGTGGAAGTCCTCGACCGCCTGGGGTCCGACGCGGCTGGCTTCCCGCAGCGCAAGCGCTGCACTGCTCCCCCATCACATCCTGCTCTTCGCACTGTGGCTTTCGCACGCGCTGGCCAACACCCCACCGGCGCTCGGACCCGCCTTCCTCCAACATCACTCCAGCGACGCCTGCGCTGGTCCTGACGAGTCGCGCCGGCTGGCGGACTCACGCGCTCGACTCGCTTCGCCTCGACCAGCTTCTCATCCTCGTCCTCACGCTTGTTTTACGTTTTCGGAGCAATTTTGGAAGGGAGGAATGGAGACGGACACAGCTTGACGACAAGCTCGGCGAATCAATCGTGCAACGACCAAGCCACATCGAGCGGCGTGCGCTCGAACAGAAGTAAGGCGCCCGGCCACGCAGAAGAACGACCAATATGATCACACGCCTCCCGCTTGTGCATGGCCGGGGCCGGATGCAAAGGACACCAGACAAAGACACAAGTCTCTTCCGATGGCAACCCACGCTTCAAGCCATGACGAGGGAACGTGAAACCCCAAACCCGGTAGACAGGACACGAGGGAGCCCCTTGATTTTGCAGGGTCGTTCTGCGAATTTGTCAGACCCGGCTGCATCGCTGGAGTCGCGCCTCGACATGACCCGCCGAGAATAAGACGAACACATTGCATAAACATGCACCCTCGGAGGTCCGCGCCGAACCATGAACTCTGCGCGGACACCTCCAACAATGTATTTCTCCCTGGGCGCCCGCCGAAGACATGGAGAGAGAGAGAGAGAGAGAGAGAGAAGGCGACCTGTGGGCCGTCGATCCTGCCGGTGCCGAACTCGATGTGGAGTTGCGCCTCCTCGGCCGGCCGCGGGCGGGGAAATGGCCTCCCTCCCTAACCCCATTCACGGGGAGACGCCCGTGAATGGGGTGAGGGAGGGAGGCGACCGTAAAGGAGGAAGAAGCGGAGCGGGAGGAGGGAGAGGTGGAAGTGGAGGAGGAGACAGCACATGAGGAGAGGAAGAGATCGTTGAACTCCGATGGGAGAGGAGATGAGTGGGGTAGAAGGAAAGACTGGAAAAAAAAAGGGTACGCGGAGGTGGAGGACGTGGAGTGTACTTTGTGTTCTCACATGACGCGGGGCCATCCCCAAGCGTCAGACGAGCATCATCTTCCCATTCTTCGTCATCGTCGTTGGCGCGATACTTGCGTCTCCAGGACTGGCGGCTTGCCGATCGCCCCTGGCGGCTCATGGAGCGGTCCGAAGCTACGAATGCATGTTGAAATCGTTTGTTGTGGCCGAGCTTATACAGAATGCGTTCAGACAGGTCGCTGACATCTCGCGGGTTTCCACGCAAAAGGGTCATCATCACTCAATTCCATGTTAATCGGATTGCCAATAACCCGAGGATAAAGCATCAACAATATTTCCCCCTCTGTTGCAGGAGCAGTGGCTTCTGAATCCGCAGGTGCCCCCGCCATTTCGCCATCTCCTTCGGCGGGCATATGGAAGTTCTCGACACATTCACTATCAGCAGGTTGCCCCGCGATGGGCATGCCCAGCCAGTCTGCCAAATCAATATCATTGTGGCCAGCGATTACCTCTTCGAACAGCCCGTCGGCGCAATTCTCGAGGGACATACTGGCACTCAAATATCTGGCAGCCATGACGTTCACAATTGCAACTGAGCTATCGGCAGGGTCGGCCAAGAGTGACTCCCAGTCAACATACTGTATATCCGAGTGAGTTTGAGCCAGATGTATCGACTCACGTCTGCCTTCGCGGCGAAAGTGCTGTGTGCTATGGCATATGTCGCACTCCATAGTTTGACCGTTGGCATTCTTCGGGTTTCCCCGACGTCCCTTACCTTTTCCTGATGTATGCCTACGGTTCCTGCCCGCACCTAGGAATATCTCTTCATTTTGTGGCCTGGTAAAGGACGCTAGGAATGCTAACGTGCCTCTGCCATGCAATCGCCTCCGCGTGCCTCTACCCTTACCTCGACCCTTGCCTTTTCCCTTGAGTGCCCGTCGGACGATACGCCGTACTTCACGAACTGGCTTCTTCATAAAATTGCCTCCAACTGCGTTTATGTTTCTGGTCTCCTAAGAATGACCATTGCGCCTGTTCGTCTTCCGTGAGGTACGTAGGCATATCGGAGTAGTCAAGGGCAGTGGCCTCGTCGTCCGAAGACGCGTCGGCGTCAGTGCCGGAGTCGAAGTCGGACTCAGCAGGTTGCCCGGCTGAGCCCATTCGAGTTGTGGCCTGCGTGGGGGACACCGCGTCGGGCGGCCCCCGAAACCTGGCCCAGGAGTCTTGCGACCCCGAAGCCGGACCACCATTTTGAGCCAGTAGTGTAGTGGTCTCAGTTGGTTGCGGATCGTCAGTCTGGACGTAATTAGCAGGTTGCCCTACGTTTGCCTCAACGTGGAAGGTCTCGGTTCGGTGACCGTGACTGAAAATACCACCAATATTGCCTGGGGTTCTCTCAGCAATGTGAGCATATGACCTCGTTCTGTCAAGTAGGGAGTCAAACTGTTGCTGGTCCCTCGGCATGTGGTGGTTTAGTGGCAATGTGAGTTGCTGTGCACGCGATGTCCCCACCCCAAGGGCTCTGAATAAAATAGCTGTTCGAAATTTGGAAGTTGGGGAAGTTAAAGCCTGCCGTTTCAGCTTCATAGCGGGCTACCTCGAAGAATGCCAAAGTCTGCTCGACCCGTTTTCCCGCATGGACTCGGAAGTCAATGCGAGCTGTACCAGAGTTGAGTTGGCGTTCCTCTTATAGTTTCTTGAACCTCGTACTTACGAGGCACATGATGTAGGTGACGCCATCGGAATGGCGGCCACCAGTGTCAACACCGAAATTGATAAGTGCTGGGGGAACTCTCATGGCTATGGTCCGCGCGAGGCCTCCCAAGCCTCGCTGCACGGCCGCAGCTTGCTGGGAGGGCGTCATGTTGCCTGTGGTCCCGTTGATCCAGGCATGCACCTCGCAGACGAATTCGCGGCAAGGTACCTGACTGGACGGGTCCCAATGGGGGCCGGTCGTTTTTGTGCCGTGTCCGCCACGCATATGTCCTACCGCGCGCCCGGTAGCGACCCATGCGAGCCCAAAAATGATAATACCAACCCAATGGCCTCGCAGGTCGTAGTCGGATGTAGTCGGTTAGGGGTCTGCGGTATGTGGTCGTAAGCCTGCGTGGGGGTGGAGGCGGCACAATGTCGCATCGCATGTGTCCATGCATTATGTCTTCGAAAAAATTTTCCCATCGGAGTAGGTGGGAGGACTTCAAGAATGTAGTAGCGCAGGGATGTAGGACGTAGGTAAGAGGCCTCCGCGTAGGCAGAGGTGTCACTGCAAGTGCCCTGGCTATGTTGCGTAGTTTTATACATTCCTCCGCGCAAACCCACTGCACCAGGATGTTCCACCACGTCAGTAGTCCACCAGATAGTGCCGTGGATGGTGAGGAGTAGAGCTAGGGCTGACAACAATAGGCCAGCTCCGCTACCAAGTTTGAAAGGGGTTGGGAGTCCCAGCCAGCAGCTTCGCCTTAGGCGAGGCCCAGCCCCCGCTCTGTTGTACAGTAGTAACGATAGTCCCAGCAGTAGGGGGCGAGCCATCTCAAGCAATTTTGGTATCGATGGCAAATGGTACACCTCGCTCTGAGGTGTAGTCAGATCTGGGCGTGCCGGCCGCTTTGAGCCAAGCAGCTGCGGATGCACGCTCGTTCCCACTCACATGCAACGGCCAGCTCACTTTAGAGTCCCGTATGTGAGACGCTGGGAAGTGACAAACTTTGACCACAATCATCAATCAGATCGACGAATGTGTGCACACGCAACGCAGCCATGCGCCCACGGATGAGTTGCTGGATCGCCCACTCGAGACGCCCTACCATGCCAAGACCATCGCAGCAGAACGATCAGAAACGCTGGCGCGGGACCCGCAGGTGCGAGAGAGTGGCCATGCTGATGATGATGGTGGTGGTGATGATGCTGCTTGGTGATGGTGGCGATGGGAGGAGGGAGGAAGGGGGAGGAGGAAGTAAGAAGAGTGAATGACGAGGGGCAGTCTCTCTCCCAACCGTGGACCCGACACCATAGGATGCTTGGGAAAACAAGCACAATATCATGGCGATGGGGCCAACCATGCGTAAATGTGTGTGCCGTGCTGTGGCACCGCTTTCGGTGAAGCTCCCCATGGGGCCACGGAGCGTGTGTGCCGACATGGTCGGGGCACTGCACGCGATGCTCTTGCCACTAGGGCCTTCGGTGGAGCTCCCCATGGGGCCACGCGCGAAACGTGTGAGGGGTGTGCTGAAATCGGCGGGGAACCGCATGCGAACTGTGCCACTGATGGGGAGGACGACGCGGGGCACTGTCTCTTCAAAACAAAGACCCAACACCACAGGATGGTTGGAAGCATTGGACTCCAAACCGCCAGGCCACCACTGAGACACACGGTGGAGCTCCATATGGGGCCACGGGACCAGTCAGGGGTGTGCCGAAATGGGCGGGGATTCGCATGCGAATCCTGCTACTGGTGCCTTCGGTGGAGCTCTCGATGGGGCATGACACGTATGAGGGGTGTGCCGACATGGGCGGGACACCGCATGCGAACCCTGCCGCTGGGGCCTTCGGTGGAACTCCCTATGGGGCCGCGAAACGTGTGAAGTGTGTGCCTGAATGGGTGGTGATTCGCATGCGAACTTTGCCACTGGGGCCTTCGGTGGGTGGTGATGGGGTGCGCCGAAATGGGCGGGGAACTGCACGTGAACTTTGCCACTGGTGCCTTCGGTGGAGCTCCGAATGGGGTCACGAAACGTGTGAGGGGTGTGCCGACATGGGCGGGGAACCGAATGCGGACTCTGCCGCTGGGGCCTTCGGTGGAGCTCCCCATGGGGCCACGAAACGTGTGAGGGATGTGTCGAAATGGGCGGGGAACCGCATGGGAACTTTGCCACTGATGAGGAGGAGGACGACGCGGGGCACTGTCCCTACACCCCTACACCATAGGATGGTTGGGAGCATTGGACTCCAAACCGCAGTGGGTGCGCTACTTATAACTCTGTGAAGCCACTGACAAACACAATCTGACAGCAGGGCGACTCAAAGCCTGCAGTAAGTGCCTTCCTCCCAGGGAAAGGTATCCTCGGACATCGGGTTTGCAGGCGGTGAATTTGTGTAAATCCTGGCCTTGGAGAGGAGGACCGCGGGGCAGGCAGGCATTGCGCTCTGCGCTGCCATGCAGTGCCGAGTCAGTCCTGCCCAACCCCCGTAGAACAAGAAGCTGGCCGCATGCCCGCCCTGAAGCTGGGGCGGATACAAAACCCCGCCTCGAGCACCACCCACGGGTTCCAGCCCTGCGCAACACGACCTCGTGACCAGCACGATGCGAGTGCGACCTTACGACCGCAGACCTCCCCGCGCCAGAGACATGGCGCTCCGTTGAGAAGGCGGGGCGAGACCCGAGCTCTTGCCTCACAGGGCGGCTGCGCACAGGCTCCTTCTGCGGCGCCTGGTAAGTGCTGGACAGCGTGTGGTCATACCTGCTGCGGCCGGGCTGCACGCAGGCGCCGTCCTTGCACAGGTCGGAGGACACCCAGATGTTGGTGCCTCGGTCAAGGGCTACCTCAAAGACCAGGCGACACCAAGAAAGGTCCATCGCGCGCTGGCTGCCTACTTGGTCCTCTGCCTCCTCCACGCCTCGCGCCCGCCCTGTCCTGGCCCTGCTGCCCCAAACTGCCGGCACTGCCGAAGGACACTGCCGATACGGCGTGCGCGGCAGGGGAGGACTCCGGCCTGGCAGCGCTGCGAGAAGGACTTGGCTAGGACCCCTTTTGGAGCATGGAGCCAAT